TTACTCGTTAATTGTTCCAATTTTAGCCGCTACCGAGATGCATAGTTAGCACTTAGCAGTTATTCCTATGCCACTGTATCACTATTTTTTTTTCCATTTATTTGCTAATTTTTATTGATAATAGTTTATATTTAAATAAAATTGTTGAATTTCTTTGTTATTGAATTGTTTGCTACATTTTCGACTTATTATTAGATAACTTAGATGTGATTGTTGAGCGAGTATTTTTGGTAATGAAACAAGTGAAGGTGGAAGATGACTTTTTGCTGATAATAAGATATTCTTCATTGTAAAAGACTTTGCAAAGAAAGTAAATGTAGATTTTATTATAGACGAATTTTATGCTTTAAAATCTCATCAGAAAAATATTCAATGAATAATGTCATTTAATGACTTTTTATATTATATAAAAAATTTATTAGTATTTCTTACATTTCAGCCCTACCATCAAAAAATCCTGGATCCGCCCCTTTAGTGCTGCAGCTGAACAGTAATAAATTGCTGTGTTGTGTAATGATTGGTGATTGAACTGTCAAATATAACTGTATTACTAATTTCTAGTCAAATATATTTCTTGGTCTTGTGGATCATTGACTGCAAAGAAATTTTTACATATTGATTTGGTCATATACTGTTTCAACCAAACAGGAACTGGTCACTTCTCGTCGGGTTTAGTTAACTCATTGGTCCTTGTGTTGAATTTTCGTTCGGTACTGGTCTGATCTAGTTTCAAACAGGTCTGTTTCCCCCCACCAAAACTAAAAACTCAACAGGGATCACTTGATATTTCATTCTAGGTTCACTGCTGCAGCAACCCTCCCTCACCCCGTCATTAGACTACTCAACCCTCTCATAAAAGAAGGGACCTTCAATGGGCAGCCTCCCTCTAATTTCTCCCATCCGGTTGTCCCTTGGGTCAGTGGTCAAATTTATTACTTTCAAAATTGATTGTATCCCAAGTATATTAAGAGATTAAAATACACAGATGCTCTGCTGTCTTCAAATATATTGTCCAATTAATTTCATTTTTCTGGAAAAAAGCTGTTTTTTCCTAGTTCTCCTTTAGGATTTATTTCATTCTTTTTTCCCCTTTTTTGATGGAATTCTTTTTGAGTTTATTGTTATACTTTGTTGCACCAGGGGTTCTGGCCGAAAAAATAATTTTACTGAGGAAAGAATGGTTAAGAATATTTAATTTTTAGTAATTAACATAAAGCATCAGAATAAGGTTTTTTTCTCCCCCTCCATGAAAGACTGGAAAAACAAAATTATGTCAATTTGCTAAATCTTCTCTTTATAAAATCTAAAAGTTAGGGGTCAACTGATAATGTCGAATATTAAAATCTTTGGTTAAGAATTAAAGGATAGGACTGGGTTTGGTTCCTCCCCAGTACTGATTCTAAAAATCTGATTTGAAACTGGTTTGGTCTAGTTCGATGGAAATCAGACTCCAGTTTTTGTGCTGCCTTACTACCAAGTTAGTAATGTAGCATTGATATTTTTGCTGCTTTATGCTGTGGGCGTCCATGGGAACTGAAAAGAAGAAGAAGAAGAAGAACAACAAAACTGGCAAGCAAGGCTACCAGGGCGGAGTAAACATCCTTCCCCAGAATGAGGGTGGCAAAATCATCACCGACACTAGATTCTCATCTGTACGCTTTGATCCCCAGTTTCATGAGGCTCCAAAGCGAAACTCTAAAGTGGTTATTGACTCTCGATTTGACCGCATGTTCACTGACAAAAACTTTGCATCTTCGAAGGCTCCTATAGACAAGAGGAAAACTTAGAAAGAACTCCCCCTCTCAGAACCCTCTTAAACATCACTATCGTCTAGAAGATGAAGAGAACCAAGTAGAAAAAGTGCACGATTTGAAGAAAGGTGCACCTGTTGAAGAAGAAGTAAAAGAAGAAAGTGAGAGCCAAAAAAATGGGAGTGAAAATGAAAGTGTGAGGGATGGTGAGGACTTCGAAGAAAAGAAAATCACCATTAACAACGGAAAATGAAAACGAAAGTGATAGTGAAGGTGAGGAATTGAAGAAAAGCAAATCACTATTGGCAACTGAATCAGAAGAATCAAGTGATTTTGAGGAGGCTGACAGCCACGAGAGTGATGGATCATCATCGACTAGCTCTGCAGATTCAGATGAAGATGATCAGGCTTATTTGGAGGAGGATGAAGCCTTTATGCAGCAGGTTAGGATTGGAGCTGAATTTCTTCATGTTTTTGCTGCGAATTTTGAGAACCTCATTCTCTTAAAATTTGATGTCTCCTTTTCTGAATTTGTAGGAGAACATCCCGGAAATTGATAAAGCAGACTTGCAGTTGTTAATTTGGACTGGAATCAAGTGAGGGTGAGTAATTGAAACTTTCCCTTGTTTTAATTTTTGTTTGTAATCATTATTTTCTTCAGGTGAATAAGATGATCTTTCACCACACAAAGTCTGGATATTTATCTTTGAAACTAGTGTTCGGATTGATTGCATTGTTTATGGTTGTTTGGAACTTTTAGTATGATAACTAGATATGTAATTATCGTAGTATTTTACATGTTATTTACTAAATGGAACATCAATTTGGAAACATTGAATCTGATAATGTATTTTGTAGAATTTGAGTGTACTATTAACTGCCAGTGTTTTAGATGTTTCTTTCTTCTGAATCTATTTGTTGAGAATTATTTTGAAACCTGTAGGCCGATGACTTGTACGTATTGCTAAGTTCATTTCTTCCTAAAGAGGGTCAAATTATGTCAGTGGCTGTCTATCCATCTGAATTTGGACTCAAGCGCATGGAAGAGGAGGCTGTCCATGGTTCTGTGGGGCTTTTTGATGAGGGTGAGGATGAACAAGATGATGAGATTGACAACAAAAAACTGCGTGCCTATGAACTAAGTAGGCTAAGGTGAAAATATCTTAAAGTGTTATGTATGCAGAATCTTTAAGTTGTGGATTTCCAATTTTTGTCCTATTTAAGTGTTTCTTTATTTATTAAACACATTGAAATATTTATGGTGCTTATAGTAGTTTTCATTGAATTTCCATGGATAACATGAAGAATATTTTCCATGATTAATCTATGGAAATTTGCACCACCAATTTCCTTAATATTTGTCAATCTAAACAACTCCACATTGAAAGCGCATGCTATATTTGATGGCATGTAGATAGGCAACCATGAAGCACTGATATGGACACCACATGAGATACGTCAACACAAATTTTATGAAAATAGAACACGAAATACATTGGTTGAAGGGTTTTAGAATTATATATTTGTAAATAATCTCTCTTTTACATTTTTTTTTTCCAAATTAATATTCATTTTTACCTGTAGTTTGGCATGTGATATCTTTTGAATTTGAGGAGTGGAGACCTGTTATATTAAGCTGACTTTGTGTTGTTGTTTGAATTACTAATGCAAACAAAAAAAATATTTATATTTAAAGAACACGGTAGATTTGAAACAAATTTGACGTGGAACTGGTACAAATTTCTCACTAATTTTTACTTTATTCATATTGTGATAATTAAATTATTCCCTAGTTTCAGATCCCAATATTTACAGAATGGGGCATGTCATGTCCTTGACATCTCAGGCTATTTCCTTTGGATGACAAAATCTTTAAAAATATGTAAGTTGTGTTGCACGTGGATTTGTGTGGTCCTGCATGTCCCAGGCACGTCTATGTCTGATATGTTGAGAAATGACATTTTGCCCTTGGAGGAGTGTCCATGCTTTACACGAGATAAGTGAAAGGAAAGATTTTGACTCCATTTTTCTAAATTGTTGTAGATACTCATTTGAAAAGTCAAAATGAAATCCAAATGAATCTTGATCATCTGTCATTTAATCTTTTGCCCCAAAATATTGTGAATGCAGAACTGTAGGAGTTTTTTCATGCGTAGTTGAAACAAGTTTCAATGTTTTCTCTTTTTGGAATTCTTTTTCTTTTCCCTTTCTTCAGAATGGAAATGTCAACTTCACCACTCAGTGTGCATGGCTGAATGCTTATTTTATTTGTGCGCTAAGTTCCAGCATGTCCCTTTCTGTACCATCAATCATCTAATGTGGAAGAGTTCTTTCTCAATTCTGTACTTCTGTATTCAGATAATATTATGCTGTGGTGGAATGTGATTCAAGTGCTACAGCAGATTACCTTTACAAAACCTGTGATGGAGTTGAGTTTGAAAGATCATCTAATAAGTTGGATTTGAGATTTATTCCTGACACCATGGAGTTTAAGCATCAACCACGCGATGTGGTGACACAGGTAAATTCTGTCTTCTGATCATCAAATGGGACAAATGGTTTTATGGTATAGAGTGAGTGAGTGCTAAGACAATCAGGCAACTATTTCTGTGGTTAACTTTCTTCTTTGTGGTCACCTATTGCCTTTTTATATCACCCCTGCCTTGGGATACTTCCCAAGAATGCTATAATACACTTGTCGTATCAATGAAAACTTATATAATAACTGAGTTCCTTTAATATATTTCTCTCTCAATTTGTTTGTTTAAAACTTTAAATTTCTTAATTCTCCGTGGTTGGCACCAACAGACTATGAAGGTTTAGATTTCCAAACTCGAGCACTGCAACACAGTAACATTCATCTCACATGAGATGAAGATGGATCACAATGCTCAAAGACCTTGAAGAGAAAACTCAATGCTGAACGGGTTTGTTTGTTTCTGCTTCTTAATGCACGTGTGTTTGTGGGTTGTGCACAAACAGTCTCTTATGCATATCTAGTCTATTCATTCACGCTATGACAGAGAGGTTGGGGAGAAATTCTTTTTTCAAGTTGGAAACATTTAAAAACTGGAGAGTTAAGTATTGGTCGATAATTACTTGCATCTTTCAAGACCATTTGATTCTCTAGAAAATGTGCTTCCTTTTTTTGTGAACATTCTTGTGATTGAATTTGAGATTGAGGTGTTGTGGATTAGAGAAAGGGCTCTCTAGTTACATAAAAGCGGCTCCCTCCCCCTTTGTCCATTCATGTCTGTCTCAATGGCAATTCCAATTCTTTTTTCCCAGCTTGACGAATTGGAGCTAAAGGATTTTTTGGCATCTGATCCGAGTGAAGCAGATGACAATTTTGACGACAATGTTGTGGAAGATAGATCTGTAAAAATATGCACTAAGAAAGATATGTACTGTGCTCTTGTCCAATCTGGGGATGGTGGCTCAGATGACAATGATGAGGATAATGCCCAAGACATGGAGGTCACTTTTAATACTGGCTTAGAAGATATAAGTAAACGCATTTTAGAGAAGGATAAAAAATCAGAAACTGTATGGGAGTCGCACCTAAGAAAGAGGAGAGAAAAAGAAGGCTTGGAAAAATAGGTCGTAGAATTCATCAGATGAAGATGTCACTGATACTGAGCATGAACATGTAGAACAAGCGGATGACTTTTTTGTTGAAGAGGAAACTCAGCTTCGAGGTACCAAGAGAGAGAAACCTAATCAAGAAAAAGTCCAAGAAGCTGAAGCTAGTCGAGCAGAGCTTGAGCTATTACTTGCTGATGACACGGGAATGGATAACAACTTAAAACTCTGATGCTCGAACTCTTCGAAATAGATTTTTTTTTTTCATTTCTTTTTCTTTCCCTTTTCTTCTTTTCCGTCTCTGCCCTCTATAAACCTAGCGTCGTTACTGAAAGGATAGAGAAATGCGGCGGCACTAGATTTTCCCTTCTTTTTTTTTTTCTTTTCATTTTCTTCTTTTTTTTCCTTCTTTCACTCTCCGTATTGGTGATTTAGGATTTTGTATGTATGAATGAAAATAGGTTCCATATAGTGCTACTTAGTGCTCCATTAAATCCAAATTGCAATCAAGTCCCTCCATTTTTTATTTTATATAACATTTATTAATTCTCATAATTGAAAACTAAACTCCAAAATTGTATTTTATTTGTTTTAACCCCTTATTCAATACCCATTTCGTTCTTTGTGAATAATTTATTTTGGTCTATTCAAAATGACATTTTGGATTAGTAAAAAAATTGAAGTTTGAAAGACGTACCCACGTATCGGTGTCCGAAATTTAGACTCTTTTTAACTGTATCCCCGTATCCTACATTTTAGAAAATAAAAGATTCGACACTTAAATACGTACCCGTACCCGTACCCGTACCCAATACTTGTACCCGAGTCCGAGCATCATAGACTTGAAAGGCTATAACTTGAAACCTAAGAAGGGGAAGGGGAAAAAGGGAAGGAAAGGAAATACCTAATGTTGACTATGATGATCCACGATTTTCATCTCTCTTCACTTCACCGCTTTTTGCTCTGGATCCGACAGATCCTCAGTTCAAAAGGTATATATAATGTTATCACATCTTTGTTTATTGTACTTATTGAAGGTCTTGTTCGGTAAGGTAACAATGGAAGTTCCTGATTTTATAGTGCATGTTTTGTATAGGGACATCAGAATGGACACAACTTTAGTTTTTATTTTTCCCCTTTTTGTAAATATTATGTTATTAGGCGAATTTGGATTTTGAATGAAGACGGCATATCGTTAAGTTGAGAAAATAGTGCTAGTTGAGGGAAAGAAGCAGCAAGTGGTTGAGATTGGATAAATTCAGACATGATGGTGTACCCCCTCCTCTCCCCCTACTGGCGAGAACCCCTACCGTATCATTAGCTCTTCATCCTCGTTCTGATTTCTTAAATGCAATTATTTACTTGTAATTGAAGCCTTTGCTATCCACAATTATTAACGCACTTAAATTTTTTTGTGCTGCATGGCAGGAGTGCAGTTTATGCTCGGCAAATGGCACAGAAAAATAAGGGCAATCAGGCAAATGCTACAGGAACGCTCCACAGAAATTTCAGGGCAGTTCCCATCGACCGACAATTTGGAAATGCTCAAAGATAAGGACTTGCAACTTGACGGATTGAATCCAGAAAAGGGAAGGACGAGGTATGTGTGTTGGTTAAGTCACTTAAAATGAAGACCAAACAAGCAAATTTGTCCTCTCAAAGGAAAGTGTCGTCTAATATATTGGAAATGGTCAAAGATCAAGACTTGCAACCCAGTAAAGGGAAGGGGGAGATATCTTCTATGGTTAAGTCGCTCAAAATGAAGACCAAACAAGCAAATTTGCCTTCTCAAGGGAAACTGAAAGGAAAGAGGAGGTAAAAACTGGAGAATGGATTCCGGCTCAACCTCGAATGGGATTAGTTCGCATTGATTTAATATGCATTTTCATTATAATCTTCTTATGTTGGAATGTCAAGAGCAGGCCATTTAAGTTTTGAACCTCTGTATTGGGCTTTATAATTGAAAAATTGCTGTGGCACTTGTACAATTTTCTCTAGTGGATTAACAGAATGACTCTGTTTCCATTGTTTTTTCCCGGCAAGCCGACATGTGGATGTATTCTGAACATCCTTGACATTTTAGGGGTACTCAGTCCTCCATATGGGTGGGCAAGCTTTTTCTCAGAGACACTGATGAATGATCACGTTATTAGCTCGAGTTAATTTTGGTTTTCTTGGGTATGGATATCCCAATGCTTTGAGACTGGTGAAATTTTTTAATCATTTTGTCATCAAAAGATTTATTCAACTCTTTAAATGACATATATTCTTCATTCGAAAAAAAAAAAAAAATAATGCTGCCGAGAATTTACTGATCATTTTGCCAATTTTTCTTTTCTTCATTTTGAATTGTGTTTGTACCAAACACTTTTATGCTTAAGCTTTAATTGGTTTTACTTCTTATGATGGTTTCTGTTAGAGGTGTCAATTCTGGTGATCCGGGCCGGGTCGCCTGAAACATATGAGCCCGGTAACGGTCCGCGTGAAAAAAAGTTGGCCCGCTACGGGTTCCGGGTCGACCCATAAATTTTGGACTACAACTCAGGCCCGTCCGCTGACCCATTCGAGTCGAGTTTATGCGGGTCACGGGTTGCGGTTTGTTCCGATTTGACTCGTATTATTGTATAAATAAAATTATAAAAATATAATTTTTCATATTTATAGCAAAAAATATTTTTTTTGTTAAATGTAAACTAAAAATTGAACAAAATAATAAATGCATATCTATACCAAGAAATGTTTATATAAAATTCAAATTTAATGTTACATGAATTATTTATAACTTTACAAAGTTAAATTTAACTTAAACAAATAACAATTAAATGTATTTATAATTACTATTATCAAATATTTATAGTATAAGTACATCCNAATTCACGGGCCAGCAGGTTAACCTTGGCCCGTGAAGGTGCAACCCGCGAAACCCGCGGGTCACACCTTCTTGACCCGTGAACCGCCCTCTAGGGTTACGGGTTGGCCCGCGGTCTCGGGTCGATTCGGGCAGGTTTTCACAGGTCTGGCCGACCCGTTCGTCTTGATACCTCTAGTTTATGTGTTTGGTCTACAAAAATTGCTAGAAAGTATAGTATGGTCAATGTTTTATTCTGGACTGAACCCGCACTTGTATTTTCTTTGTACTATCATTTAGCCCTGTTTGATTGGTATTATTTTTCCTAGAATTTGGAAAAGGAATTCAATTTTCTTGGTTTTGGCTTGTTTGATTGTCACAATTTATTTATTTATTTATTTTGCAATGAAAACAAATTTGATAACTAGTTGTAAAAAAAATTTCACTTTAATGGACAATTTTCATGTAAAATAAAGCCAAACAAACACTAAATTTTGATTAAAAAAATAATTTTTTTAGGAATTTTTTTTTTACTTTTTGAAAATGTAAACAAATTTTATAACCAATTGTGGAAAAAATTATCACTTTAATGGACAATTTTTATGTAAAACAAAGCCAAACGAACACAAAATTTAAAAATTTTTCGAGTGGAAAATTATATCAATCAAACACACTAAATTAACAATTCTCTACAAAACAATTTTTAGGCAATTACTTTCCCTGAAATTCATTTTCTTTCCACTCATTTTTCACCAATCAAACGGACCCTTAGATCTTCTAAGGAAAAATGGCCATGTCCCAGCAAATGGTTTACAGGAAAACATATTCATATACCTGGAATTCAATCCATTAATATTCACTGTGCAAGAACTTGAACCGGAAGCAGTATCAGCACTGAATGATAACCGGCCATTTTACCCAATTGGGGCAACTTTTCTACGGATTTCTCCAAGAAAACTGTTGTCAGGAGTCTTCACCAAAATTGGAATGCACGGAATGGCTCAAAACCATGTCCCCTGGATCAGTTTTGTATGTTTCTTTTGGAAGTATTGCCAAAATTGATGAACATGTACACAGGCCAGGTATTGTTAGTTCTGATGATGATGAAATCTTTACGGCCCGATTTAAGAACAGGATTAGAGATCAAGGGTTGATTCTTGATTGTACTTTAGTGTAAACAAAACCTTGTTCTGTCAAGTCCAGCCTTTGCAGGGTTCTTAACGCATTGTGGTTGGAACCTATACTGAAAAGTATGTGGTGTAGAGTTCCAATGATTTGTTATCCACTGTTTAACGATCAGATTTCAAATAGAAAATTAGTGGTTGATGATTGGAAGATTGGAATTAATCTTTGCGATGGTTTAAGTTCCAATGATTTGTTATCCACTGCTTAACGATCAGATTACCAATAGAAAATTAGTGGTTGATGATTGGAAGATCGGAATCAATCTTTGTGATGGGATATCCATCACAAGAGATGTAAAATGCACTGGATGGATCCTTGGGGAGTAATTTCGATCACTTTCTTGAGGTTTTGAAGGCTAAAATTCTTGCAAAGATGGAAGATTAATATCGATGGGACGTAGGTACTGACATTTTATTAATGGGTTAATTAAATCATAAATCTTATAAACGAATTTTGTGTTAAATATATTCGATAAGTTTAATAAAAAACTAGAGCGAAAAGATACTATATATCTAGCGTCTCACATTCGTGATAAATACATATTTTTAATTATGTGTATATGACTCACATAAATTCCTTTAATCTCTAACACTATCCATAGTATTTTTATGAACGTCCTTATCATAATATTTTTGAATAAATTAAAAAAATATTTTTTTTTCTTCTATACTAGTCCATCAATCTGTTTGAGCAAGTATACAACTTCATAGTAGATATCACAGCATAAAACCGAATCAGTGTTCTATAGCCTTCGAACTATATTTAGTGCTTGTTTGGTAGGAATTTTTGGGGGAAAAATTGATTTTTGAATAGTGATATGATGGGAAATGTGTGGTTGAAAAAGAAAAAAAATATTGATGTGATGAAAAATATTATTTTATTGAAGAATGCGTGATTGAAAATGAGAATTGATTTACTGTAAAAAATGAAAATCTGTACCAAACATGCCCTAAATCTCTTACTTTGATCCAACAATCTTTGATATTCTTGAAATGTTTTTTTAACTTTTGAATCTTTTTTAGTATTTGATCATAACATATGAGTGGGCACTGAGACATCAAGATCTAACTAAGAACCCTAAACAAAGACTTACTTAATAAAGAAAACATATTAGTTTTCAAAGATTGAAAAAGATACAAAATAGTGTCTTTTGTACTAACCACCCTATTTAGGGCTTGTCTGTTTATGATTCCTTGAGAAAATTTCATTGCTTTTGTGAGCATTGGAACAGGAGGCAGCACACCTTATTTGACTTCCTATCTCATAANTTTTAGGGAAGAATTGATTTTTGAATAGTGATATGATGGGAAATGTGTGGTTGAAAAAGAAGAAAAAAGTATTGATGTGATGAAAAATATTATTTTATTGAAAAATATATGGTTGAAAATGAGAATTGATTTGAGAATCAATTCTCAAATAAAAAACAAACACCCCCTTAAGTTCGTCAAAATATTTTAATCTATACATTTCGTAACCCACAATTTATTACTCACTTGCAATCCACATTCCATAAGGTCCGCAACTTATAAACACTTAACCTAAACATAAACTCATGAATCATGATAATATTAACCTCAGTCACAATGACAGGTTATGCTTTGAAGATCAAAATGGCTTTCTTTCATGCTTCCAAAACTCTATACACCCCCACCCCCACCCTTACCCCAACCCCACCCAAAAAAAAATAAAAATTTAAGAGCTTATTTGTCTGAAATTAAAGAAATTTATAAGTTAAAAATAGGTATAGTCTTTTGAGTATATGTATTCTATTGTCAAAGTTGAAAAAGATAAGCTACTTAGTTTGAAAGTAAAACTAGATTGTGTATATAAGTAACTTATTTTACTTATGACAAGACAAATATATTTGAAAAATAAGTTTTACTTCGCTTCGTTTGACAAATTTATAAATGATATATAAATCGGAACATTAGTGAATCTCAGAAAATATATGAATAATAATGAGTAATACTTATTAAAAATATGTGATTAAAATTAATAAATAATTTGATTGAATTTATAAACAACCATGTATAAATTTGTTTCCAAGCAAGACCAAACTTTACTTTGATGCAAGTGAAGACATTGGGATAATATAAGATGGTTGGCAAGTCAATACCCACACTACAATTTCATAGTACTCTTACTTTCTATAACTTGTTTATTAATACGAAATGAACAAAAAGTGGGTATGGAAAATAGAGTTACAAACATATTATAATAAGACAAAAATGAGGATTTCAAGAACTTTTTCTCATTGGTCGAAGCAATTTCTTCGGATTACCTAACATTCTGCTGCAATTTCAAAGTGTTTTAACTTGTGTTTTTAAATTATAAGTGAAAAGTTGAATGCAAAGGTCAAGATTTTTCGAGGTTATTGGTGTCAATCAAAATCAATATCATGCACATAGATTTTCATCGCAACACAAAGAGATATATTTGAAGTGGCTAGCTTGTGATAAGGTTGTGATGTACCTTACATTATTATCACATGTTACAATCTGGGCACCGGAAAATAATGTTTGATTTTGTTGAGAATCATCTTGTCCATTTTACCATACACGCATAAAACAACACTTATGCTAGTGATTGCTAGAGAAAGGGCTCAATCCCATGGCTGAACTCATGGATGCGAATTTCGCCAGCTCCGGTGGCAAGAATGGGTTGGCGCCACCTTCTCCTCCCATGCCTAGAAAATCTCTGAACCCCAAATGCAAGTTAGCAGAAGCCTGTAGGCTTTCCGCTGTTCCACTTCTTTGCATAGATTGATCCAGGCCGTCAATTGTAGTAGTACTTGTTGAAGATACAAAATTCGGCGTTGAATTCTCCAGTGCCTGCTGTTTGAAAACCTGGTGCAATTCACTTCTGTTCAAGGGATTGTTGAAGAATGTTGGATTACTTTTGGTTGATCCCATTTGAGCTGCCTTTTGCAGAAGTGCAGTTGCAGACATTGATGCAGAAGCTGAAGAGTTCGAGTGAAGATTCTGATTATTGGAGTATAAAGAAGAAAGGGATTCTGCAGACGCCATTGTTAACCCTTTGCTAATCACTGCCTCTTCCTTTAGGCCTTGTGGTGGAAACAAAGAGAGATTTGCAGATGCTGCTGTTCTTTCCAGCCATGGAAACTGATTTGACGAGTCGAAAACATTGTTATTCGATGCCATTTGCATCATATTAGGCATGAAAAGATTTGAATTTGCATCAATTGGATTGAGCTGAGAATTCACATGATCCAACCAAAGTGATAATCTAGGCTTCTGATCAGAATTACCGGCCGGGGCCATACCATTAAAATCTGGTCTAAAACCAGCTCCAAGAAGGGGAATTCCAGAAAACCCATGAGCCAAATTTTGTACAGGGTTCATCAGATTCCCATTCAAATCATTTCTGAAGTTCAAATTATTGGCTCCAATTGATCTTGCACTCTCTTCAGCTAATGCATCACAGAAAGCTCTGTGTGTAATAAAACTATCCTTCCTGTATCAATGAACTTAAAATTATTATCCAATCATTGGTTGGAATTATGAGAAACATTTATTTCTTGGAACAAATATTCCCAAACAAGAAGCATAAGTCCAGGTTGAATTAAATAACGTACCTGGAAAAGAGAGTTCCACAGTCACATTTGTATTCCCTAGTCCCACAAGTCTTAGAATGAGCTTTCCAGTCTGATTGAACGGCATATTTCTTTGAACATTTCTCACATTTCCACTTCTTCTCACCATGTTTCCTGCTGAAGTGCTTCTTGACCCCGGTGAGGTCCCCAAGAGCCCGGGACGGGTCGTGGTGAACGCAGGTCTTTTCCGGGCATATGTAGACCTTCTTTTTTATCTGATCTTTGTTAGCCCTTTGCTTAAGTTTCCATGGAAGATTGTGTCCTCTTCTGTGGAGCTGCAAATTTTGGTCCCTTTGGAAACCTTTCTTGCAGATTTCACAGATGAATCTGTTTGTAGCCATGAGTGTTTTTGGTGAAAGAGCAATAACTTCTGCATCTGGATCTGTTAAAATTTAACCCCAAAAAATATCAGACCATTGACCTGTTGAAATTACAGGACTTTCTTGGAGCCTAATCATAGTAGTCTTCCTAATATTCCAACTGTTGAATCACTATAAATATTTGCGCGTGTTTTGTTTTTTTTCTTACTATACTTGGAATTAGGCCTTAATCTATAACAAGAAATACACAAAACATAATTACCTGGTGTTCCCGGTAGATTTCTTCTCTTCTTCGAAATAGGGTTTTCGTTTAAATTTGGGTTAGGGTTTGCTTCTGCAAGTTGTTGAGGGAAAACTTTGGAAGGAAGAGAAAATACATCATCAGACATCATTTGAATAAGAAACTAAAGCTTCAGGGAGATTGTGTTTTGGTTTAAACTCAAAAAAAGACTGCTAAAATACAAAAGAAACTTCTCCAAATACAAACAGATAAATCTTTGGTATTATTCAAATCTTAGAACTCTCAGATTGTACCAAAAGAACAAGAAAACACCCAAAACATGAACTTTGAATCTCAAAACACCCATAAACCCATAATCTTAAACTTTGGGTTCTTCTTACAGAGATCTGGTTGAGGACTTTGGCTTGATTTTCAAAGAAAAAACCAAAAACCCATGAAAGCTAAAGAGAATATTATCTCTATATTTGTAGCTACCAACCCTTTACACTTCTCTCTCTTTTTCAAGCTCTCTCTCTTTATCTCTTCATTTCAAAGTCGGTCAGCCATAGATTTTAGCTGCTGGGCCACTCTCTCTCTCTCTCTCTCTCTCTCTCTCTCTCTCTAATATTCTTATTGTACGTATATGTTGGCTGTATGCTGCTTGTAATTTGCAGAATGTGTAGAGCTGTGTGCAATTGTAGTTTTACGAGCTAAGCCTATGGATTTTTTAAAACAAAAAAGTAATAGGTATTGTCAAATGAAATTTAAACACTTAGGGCCCGCTTGGAAGTTTTTTTTTTTCCACCAATTTTGATCGATTTTGGGTGGCACATTTACGAGGTGTTGAAAAAATCAGTACTCGCTAATTTTTTTGGTTACCAATTTTGGATGGTTTAAAAACCACCCAAAATAGGTGTAGTGGTAATTTTGAGCGTTTCTCTTCCAAATCGGCGAATTTTGGTCGTTTCTTACATTCTCTTCTAATTTTATCATTTATAAAATAATTATTTTCAACCAATATATTGTGTTCAAAACAAAATTGTAAATAAAAATATATTAACTAAAAAATTATATAATAATTTAAAAAAATACTTATAAGTAAAATTTTACTTGTAAGATAAGAAAAATAACATTATAATTAAAAATTTCTTATAATAAAAAATCACTTTTATGTAAAAAAAAAAAATTGTTAGAAAATAAAAATACTATTAATAAGACAATATCACTTATAAAATATAAAAAAAAATTACTTATAAGTGAAAAAATTCACTTAAAAGTATAAAATTTACTTTTAAGTAAAAAATATTAACTTAATTATTTTTTAAATTAAATATTAAGTTATATGTAAAAAAATATCTATATGTAAAATATCACTTATGAGTAAAAAAAATTCATATAAAAGAAAATTTTATTAAAGAATATATACATAATTTTATTCTTTAAAAAAAAAAATTAGAACTAGTGTATAATAAACTCCCAAACATAGGTTGGAGAGTTTTAAAAATTGCTATTAAAACCATTCAAAACCGATCCGCTCATAAACGTTCAAAATCAGTATTTTAAAAAATGTTCATACCAGTACGACGAAACTCTCAAGCAGGCCCTTAGGTTAGTATAGAGGAGTTAAATTACTTATATTTAATCTAATCTTTAACCCGTCCATATCATCTAAATTTATTTTATAGTAAAAAATGTAGTAATACATGAAACTTTCATAAATTAGTAATGATGTTTGGTGAAATTTGTACATCACGACCTATCTCGATTATGATACGAGATTGAACTTTTTTATTTAAAAAAGTTATCCATTCAAATGAAAAAAAAAATTGATTTATCGTCAAATTGTTCACACATAAAAAAAGAAAATTTTGAGGAAAGAACATGTTGAAATTAGTATAATTTAATACAGTTGTATGTGTTACCATTTTTAAAGAGAGGGTCACATGAAACTTGAAAGAGATGGAAAGGTTCCTTATTCTGGTTTAAAGCATATCAAATATAATTGATTCATGTGTCATATATTTTAATATTGCATTTAAAAGTATAGTCACAAAAAAATAATTCTTATTGCCAATAAACTGATGTTGTTTGCGTGAATTACTTTAACATCCACTTCAATTTAGTCCCGAAGATTTTTTTTTTTTTTTTTTTCAAGATTCTACGTAAGATTAGAGGTGGCAATCGAGCCGAGTGGCTCGTGAAAAAGCGGCTCGTGGGCCTCTTGGGCTCGTCAAAAAGTGGCTCGTTGTTTTGACGAGCAGCGCCCACGAGCTCGTAAAAAATGTGAGAAAAAAAAAAGGAGCTCATGAGCTCACGAGCTCGTGGGCCGAGCTGAGGTCAACCCTTGAGCACGAGCCTAGCTCAGGGGTAGATGGGCCGAGCCATTGCCACCACTACGTAAGACGCCAAAAAAATAAATTATGTCGATATTAAATTTACTGTTTGATGGAGTCTTTTATTAATCCATGTTCAATAATACATAGGAAGGGAAGTTACACGTGCATAAAATTTAAAAAAAAAAATCTGAATTTGAGATTCCATGTCCCAAATTGATTATACGTGATAGTGTATTGAAGTGGACCTAATTGAAGATGCAGAAAGGTCAAATAATGGATGGCTAAAACTTTTTTAAGTTTTCAAGAATGTGGGGTTGTTTCCGTTTTCTAGATATTTGACTGTTTACTGTCATGGCAATAATCTATAATGAAGAAAAAGTAAGATGAAAAAGTGAAACACCTTTATGGCTGTATTAATGATAACAAAATAATTAAAAGTTAAGACCTCAAATATTATTACTGCAGTGATTGAGCCACTGATTTTTTAAGAACAAAGATAGCTTTTCAATTCCCGAGTAGCTTTCAACTGATACAAGGACACCCGTGACACCCTCTGCCTGTCTCTCTGTGTGGGTCCTGAGAGAGAAAGAGAGAAAGAAAGAAAGTTGATGCCACAAAGGAAAACTTGAGACAATCGAGAGAATTTACTTGTGTCAAGTTGTTAAAATTGATAATAACTCGACATAAGAAAGTACGGTTTAAGTACGACTTAGTTCTTAACTACGTATTGAATTATGAAAGTAGGTCGTCCCGTCTCTATAGTTGAGTTGTATTGAGCTCGAATGTAGATGTTTGTCACCTGTCTAAGAAGCAACTTGACACTCGAAAGCATCAATATTCAAGTACAAATATAGTTCATGTTACTTTAGCTAGAATGTGTAGGATTAATCGGTTGTAGATGTTTGTACTTTATACCTATATTTAAAATTCAAAATTAAATTATAAAATGCATATAAAGTATCGTGCAAGCCATAGAACACCTTGCACGAAAGTCGAAACCTTTCAATTTCGTGACGCTTTATTATGTGTTATTGCAATTCCTTTTAAGTTTTCGACCTTTAAATTTGTGACACCTCCGATTCCTGGATTATATCTTAAAATATATCAAAAGAATCATATGTTGTACGTGATCAAGAATTTTAATGAAAATAGTATTATTATTTTTGTAATAAAAACCAAAAGGAAAAAATTTATTTTAAATAGTGATATGATGAAAAATATGTGGCTAAAAAGTAAGGAAAAGTCATGATATGATTGAAAAAATTATTTTATTGAATAATGTGGGGTTGAAAATGAGTTTTGAAAGAATATATTTTATAAAAAATGTGTGTCAAATAGCGGCTTACTCGACAAATTTTGAAGTTTACTTGTCAAGTTTTGCTTTCTCTTCTAGTGTAAGTTTGGAAGCCCTCAGCCAAACAAGTTTAAAGAAAAAATTATCTCTCTTACTCGTTAACTCTACCAATAAAACAAGAATCATAGTCCAACTCTCTACACTTCTACCAAATACACCTTAATTATTTAATTTTGAAAGTATATATTTATACAATCTCGTTCTAATTAAAACATTTAGAAGACTATTTTAGTTGTTTTCATACGAGGTGGATAGCGATTAGCGATGATTGATAATGTAAGCATGGTTAATCATGACACTTGCCTACTATAGATGGAAGATAACGTTTAAATTCTCAAATGAACAGTCAAATGTTAAGATTTTTATTCTCAGATGACGCCGCCATCTTAAAGAATTTATTAGAAATAAAATCTCATATTATCTGAAAATTAATGATAAGTTGAGAACATGAAAACGTGTAATTGTATGAATTGTGTTAATCTTTTAAGATGTAAATCTAAGACTATAAATTTCGTTGGATTTTAGTTAAGTCTCCAAGGTAATATTAAAATAAATAATAATATTCAAAATAATTGAATCCACTAAATATTTGTGGTACAAAAAATTGAAGGAATGATGTGACAATGGAAATTTCTCTATTCGAGTGGACTTAGAAAGTGCGGGACCATATATCTCTATCGTAATTTTCTTATAAAGCTAGAGAAGAAATATATAAAATAATTGAGCTCGAATGTAGATGTTTGTCGTCTGTCTAAGAAGCAACTTGACACTCGAAAGCACCAATATTCAAGTACGAATATAGTTTATGTTACATTAGCTAGAATGTGTAGGATTAATCGATTGTAGATGTTTGTACTTTGTACCTATATTTAAAATTCAAAATTAAATTATAAAATGCATATAAAGTATCGTGCAAGCCATAGAACACCTTGCACGAAAGTCGAAACCTTTAAATTTCGTGACGCTTTATTATGTGTTATTGCAATTCCTTTTAAGTTTTCGACCTTTAAATTTGCTGACACCCCCGATTCCTGGATTATATCTTAAAATATATCGAAAGAATCATATGTTGTACATGATCAAGAATTTTAATGAAAATAGTACTATTATTTTTGTAATGAAAACCAAAAGTTAAAATAAACTTATACCTCCCCTATTTACTTGACAAATTTTGAAGGTTACTTGTCAAGTTTTGCTTTCTCTTCTATTGTAAGTTTGGAAGCCCTCAGCCAAAAAAGTTTAAAGAAAAAATTATATCTCCTACTCGTTAACTCTACCAATAAAACAAGAATCATATATAGTCCAACTCTCTTCACTTCAACCAAATAGAATACTATTTTAGTTGTTTTCATACGAGGTGGATAGCAATTAGCGATGATTGATAATGTAAGCATGGTTAATCATGACGCTTGCCTACTATGGATGGAGGATAACGTTTAAATTCTCGAGTGAACAGTCAAATGTTAAGATTTTTATCCTCAG